TTGTGGCTAGTTCCAGTCTTAATTAACGTCTTACTTAATGATCTGGAAGAGAGGGCACATTAGTGAGATTAATAGATAATATTAAATTAGGAGGAGCTGCAAATACTTAGGAGTTTAGAAACGTGGGCAGAAAATGACAAAACATATTCCATTAGGGAAGAAGCAGAATAATACATCTGGGAAAAAATAATCTGAAACAAACATACTCAGTGGAAGGGAGAAATATGGAAAGCAGTAAAAAGTCCAAAATATAAATAGTGAACAGAAATTAGACAAAAGTTTGCAGACTAACTGGGAAAAAAGATAATGCAGTTTTGAGCTGCAAACCCAAAGATATATTACAGAGTAGGGAAGTGACACACCCTCTCTGTGGGTGTGTCTACACTGCAGCTGGGACAGACCCTCCTGTCACACTGTCTGGAGTAGCTCACAACCACAAGTGCCTATCTCAGGGCAGACAGTCAAAAACAGGGCAGACAACCCAAACTGGTGGTATGTATAATTAGATTTCACCAACCCAGTAACAAATGTGAACTCCTGGATCACTATACCAGTCTTACCATGGAGTCACAGACAGTGCCTTGGGCACTCCAGTCTATCTTGCAACCCAGGCAAGCTGGACTTTGTGGTAAGTGGTCACTTTCACCAAAAAATCACAAAATATTCAGGTTGCTTCTAGTCCCAAGAGACCAGTCACTTACCCCAGATCAGTTGATACCCTAGATCTTACACCAAAGACAACACTGTAGCCAATCCTGAAATAAACTATCTAAAGATTTATAAACTAGGAAAAAGAAATTAGAGTAATTTACAGGTTAAAGCAAGTAAACATATACACATAAATGAGCTAGCATCTATGATTCCTAAAGAGTACAGAGATGTAGTAATCTGTCCATTCAAAATGTCTGTCAGGGTAGACCCAGGTTGACCCTAGGGATCTCTGCTTTAGTTTAGTGTTTCTGGCCCTATGAGAGTTCAAACAGCAAGTAGATGATCATTTTTCCTTGTGAGGCATTTTTATATCTTCTTCCCCCAGACATGAAGCTGACAGAAACCGTTCCCACGGAGATCCCTTCTTCATGGAAGTGGGATGGGGAGGAATGCGCTTAAGTCTTTTATCCTTGACCTCGCACAATGGCTCATTTGCATTTACTGGACAGGATTTAACATCTTATTACAGACCATCATCTGCATTACACAAGGCTTTTTCCCTGTTTGATGAGTTATGTAGTCACAGAGGTTTACAATGCAGATGCTAGGTATCACAGTATAACATGGGGTATAGTTGAGTGAGAATACATACAGTTTCCCACAAACAGTTTATAAAACAATAAACTCATTCTAATCAACTTACCATCTAGTATTTATTTTAGTAATGCTCACACAGGTAAGCAAGACTGGTTTCTAGCTATGCATCTGTAAGTGTTCAGTGAGCCCTGGGCATGAACTGGCATCTAATCCCAGCTTGGGTAGAGACTCACACTAGCTCTGTTCAAGTTACCATGCCAAAAATAGTGGCATGGATATTGCAGAATAGGCAGCAGCATGGACAAGTTGCCCAAGCACAAGCCCACCTGAGCAGAGTTAGCATGTCTGTCTACCTGGGCTGTGAGACACGCTCCCCGCTGCAGTGCAGACATACCCCATGTGGCTTGCTGTGTTTATACGTGGAATATTTCATTCAGTTCAGGCACCTCTTTACAGACAAACTGGAAGCAGTTCAGAGATGAGTAAAAGAAACGAGCAGGGGAGTGAAGGGATTAATTAATGAGGAAAGAGTAAAAGAGCTAATTACGTATAGTTTGGCTACAAGACAGCTAATGTGGTTAATAACCATTTACAGGCGGTCCTTGACTTTGCAGTGTTCGAGTTATGATGAACGGCACTTACGACGTGTCTACGTAGACACCCTGATTAGACTTATGACTATAGGTTTCGAATTTACAATGCTCGGTCCCGCAATGGAGATTGCGGTTCCGAGTTCCAATTTATGACGCAATTGTAAGGAACCAATTGTGTTGTAAGTCTGAGGACTGCCTGTACCCATATCTCAAGTGTGTATACAGCATTGAGGGAGACGAACAAGGAGGGAAAGGAGAGGAATATTATGGTAAAAATGATGAAACTGAATAAAGAAGAGGACATTTTGTACAACTATTGAGAAAAAAAACTTCCTTACACTAAGGTCTTGTCTACAAATCCCCAGCCAAAGGCATTAGAGGGGTGCAATTGCAAAAGCGCTCTAATGTGTTGTGCTCCAGCTGACCCATGTAGAACCTGCTGGCACATGCATAGTTCTATTTTTCATAGGTTTTTTTCCACACTTTTTTTTAAAAAGAGTGCCCACTCTTTTAGCTTTATACAATTTGCATACAAAAAAACATTTTTAAAGGATTCAAAGTCACGTTTATCTGTAAGACACTTTGTCTGAGAAAACCCTCACTGACTTCAATGGGGCCACATTTCGCCATGAGCACCAAAAACCTTACAAGAAGGTGTATTAAAATAAATCAAATAATATGTATACACACAAATGCACGGGTTAAATATAATTTCCAATTTAAATGCCTAAATATGTTCTTGCACTCTCAACTACACAGCTCAACATCCCCAGGCTCATCTACTTGTTTTTGTGTTCACATTAAAGCATGCATTTTTGGTTTTTAAGTGCCACCTGTTGGAAATACTAAAGTATGTTCAAGTACAATTCTGTGCCCAATTAGGCACACAACTGCAGACTTTACATGGGCAATGCAGGTGCATCTTTTTAAAATTTAGATCTGTATTGCGTGAAGCAATGACGCAATCTCATATTGGGGCTTAATACGCATGGGGATTAGCTTGTAAAACCAGATCTACAGAAGCGAAAGTTGTTGTTTTCCAGTGATGACAGTTTAAACAGGAAATTCTTGATTAAAAAAAAAAAGAAAGAAAGAAAAATTAATTATTTGGATCTGCTAGTCTGCACGAGACTCTTCCATAAAAATTGAGCACTGCTTAATTACAGTATGCTAAATCAATTAGAAGACTGCAGCAATTAACATAGCAGACTTTATCAGCCTAGTTTGGGGCAGGCAAAAATTAAAGATTACGTAATTTGTTTATTTCCAATATAGGGAATCACACATAAGGGTATTTTGTCAAACAACTGCAATTTATTCCTTCAGATTTAGGGGAAATTGTAACTGTAGAGTTAATTTTCTCACAGTATGCTGCTCCATCTATCAACATACAACCAAAGCTTTATTTTATCTGTGATCCACTCACATATATATACAATTAAGTTTCCCTAACCAGTGATTTAGGTATAAATGTAGCGATAGAAGCACACATTCTATCTTGAATTTAAAATATGTAAACAAAAAGAATTTCTTATGTTGCCATAAAAGTAACTGAAAGCTCTACTGAAATACCTTCTCAGTTTCTTTAACAACATTTTAAAAAATCAAGACTTTACAGATCCTCAACTTTGAGACAATCAAGTCTGGTTAAATCAAAAGTACTGAAACATTTAACAATAACATGCTTTTAACAGAATAGTAAAGAAAATCAGAATGATTATTTCCATAATCAATTGATATCTACAGTAATTTTGCTGCAAAAATATATCTATGTGGAAAAAAAGTTAAATTAATCCAAGCAGTATAACTTCTGACCATAATAACCCAAATTCAGTTCTGTTCTTTCACCACTTAAACTGAAAAATACTATCAAATTATGTTAAAATTATTAATGCTTTTTTATGTCAAAGCGAGAAAACAAGAATAATTCAGTTAACTGAACACAAGACTAAATTTTGTTCTGCAAGATAATACTCTCAGGTCATTTTTCGGAACACAAGTTTCTCTGTTGTTTTAGTATCATGTCACTCTTGGAAGTTAGACATAACTGTACATAATTCATATTAACCTCACTTATAATTTCTAGTCTTCAGTATTTGTGCATCAGTATGTAAACTGTTCCTTCCTGGCTCCTCACTACAACCTTATAATTGTTTGGGCTACTTCAACTCAGCTAATCCTTAAAATTGCTTCTGCACTGTAAAACAAAACTTCATTTGTTTAACAGTCCAGCTATGCCATTTAGCACAACTACCTACACTGTACACCAATTTTGTTCCTACTTAGCTTGCATATCTGTTTTCTCCAATTCTATTGAGCACTAGACTTAGAACTCTATGTACAGAACAAAGGTTTTAATATTAATACACAAAATGTATAGCATCAGTCATGCATTATACCAGATGTACCAGGCCAATTCAGTGCAGATGCTTGGCAATTTTTGAAACACTGCCCAGAATCATGAAGGTTGTATCTGTCTATGGTGCTGAAATATGTAAACCCCTCCTTCCTTCCCAATTTCGCGTTACCACTCCAAACCCCATTTTGAGAAACAGATCGTTAGTTCATTCTCTGGGTTATTCTTCAAAAACAAACAAACAAACAAACAAAAAAAGGAATTGGCAACAAGTTTCTGCATTAGGCAACGAGAGCTACCAGACGCCCTTGCCTATGTTCGGTACAAGAATTACCCAGTGATACAAAACGATACAAAGGAGTTCGAGCCTCAGCCTCGATCCTGGCTAACGGAAATCATTACAATCAATATCCAGTATCTAGACTCCGACTCTCGCTGCAAATCTACCCCTAGCTCTTTAATGTCTCTCTTGGAATAAAACCCACAACGTACATTCATGTTAAGGGGCAAGACTGGGAAGCAGGCGAGCCGACAGCCCCACAGGTAAATGCACCGCATCGTAAGGGAACATTTCAAAGAGGGATGGGTTTCCCCCAATAAGGTGCAACCTTCTCCTTTTCTTTTGTTCTCCAACGGCAGGAGGATGTGTGTGTGTGTGTGTGGGGGGGGGGTCCTTACACCTACAAATACATGGGTGGGGGCTAACAAAGGACCATACGCCACGGGGATTAATTTGCATTAGCCTCCATCGGGCAGCAGCATTTTGCGTCTGCGAGGATTAGCCCCATGGAGCCCGGACTTACCGTCCCTATCGCAGAGCTGAATCGCCTCCAGGCTGAGATTCTTGATCACATCCTCGCAGGGGCTGGTGGGGCTGCTCATGCTGCTGCGATCCAGGCGCGGAACCTCCATTGTCCCCTTCTCCTTCTCCTTCTCCTCCCTCGGCTTCTGCGGGCGGCCGCACGGTGGGCAGCGGCTCTGGCTCCCGGCGGAGAGGGGCGGACGAGCTGGCGCGGTGGGTGCAGAGCTGCGCGCTGTAGGGGGTGGAGGCAGAGCAGGAGCGAGCGGATTTGTCACTGCAGCGGAGCGGGGAGGGGGCAGCAGAGAGACGCGCACTCATCACACCTCAGGCTCTGCATTTAAAGGGGCCGCCGCCCGGGGCTGCTGAGTCAAAGCCACAGCGGGACAAACACCTCGCTGGGCGGCGGCCGAAGGCCTCCCTCTCCCGCGCGCTGCCTATGCGACGGCTCTGGCGGCGCGGCAGTCCCAGCTGCGCCAGCACCAAGCCCCCCGCCCCATTCCCCGGGCGCCCGCGGCGGGAGGGGTCCTGCAGCCTCTCCCCCCAGGCCCAGGGCAGCGAGCAGCGGCTTCAGGCCGGGCTCACCCCGGAGCGCTGGGCGGGGAGGCTGCAGCCCTGGTCCCCGCGGCTGCCACTCTGGGCGCCATCTCCTCCGGAGCTCACAGACCGGCCCTGGCAGTGCACAGCTCCCCGCCTGCCAGGACCTGGCTCCCAGGCGAGGAAATCCACTCCCCCATCCTCATCCCTCCCTTCCCCCCTGCACCGCTCCCCAACTCACCCCATCTCCTCCCTTCCCCTCTGCACCGCTCGGCTCTCCCCAGCGCACCCCCTCCTTCCTCTCCACTCACCCCAACCCCTCACTCCTTCCCTCCTCACACCGACAGGCGCCCGCCTCACCTTCAAGCGCGCACGGCCAGCCCCAAGCATTCCCCACTACACACCATGTGAGCGCCCCTCCCTCACGTGGCCAGGCCCCTGCCACACGTGGGTGTAATGTCCCAGCCGGAGGGGGAAGCAAGGCAAAAATCCTAGGAAGGGCCAGGCCAGACAGCAAAACAGCCTCCCTGGGACATTGAAGTGCCACCCAGCCTGAGCTAGCCCAGCCAGGGGCTTGACCTGCTCCTGGTACAGCTCACCCCAGCAGCCTGTGCTCCCAGGATTCCTGCTAAGCCCTTGCCCTTGCAATCTTCAGGCCTTTTGCTCCTGCTCTGGGCTCTGCGTCTTGCACATGGCTCTGTGTGCTGAGGGAGGTAGGTCTGGCCCCTCACAGCCTTCTAGGAGTACAAGGGAGGGGCAGGAACAAAATAACCCCCCAAAATGCTATGAACAATCCCCATGATAATCATGGTTGGGGTAGGGATTAAATACCCTTGCAGCACTTGGATTCACTTTTATCTCCAGTTTTTTTTATCTCCAGTCTTAAACCTGTAGCCCATGTGTACAATAGAGAGAAACCTCAGGTCCCTTTCATGTGATGCCGCAGAAGGTACTGGGGATTAAAAGGACAGCTGCGGTGTTAGGGTATGGTGTCTCCACAAGCTGTATCTCCAACTCAAAGGTGAGGGTGGGTGCAATTTCCTCTAGTTTAGGTCAGTTAAGTGCAGTCCATGTAGCCGCTAGCCTCACTAGACAAAGTTTAGGTAGCCCTACATGGACATAGGAAACTTCATTCTGGTTTTGGTTTGTATTTTTTGGCCCGCTTCCACACAGTGTGGTTTCTTATTTCAGGGTTACTCTCACACATGTATTTGTATTGATTTTCCATTTCTGAACAAATATGTTACTAACACCACCCCATAATTACAGTGAACTGCAGAAGCACTATACCAGTGGTGGGCCACTGGGAGCTGTAGGCAGCCATGCAAATGTAAACAAATAGTCTGGCATCTTGCCAGGGGCTTACCCTGATAGGCCACTAGCAGCCTGTCAGTTGCCCACCACTGCACTATACACATTCAGGCCTGGTCTACACAAGGCAGCTTACCCAACCTAGCTGTGGATGCAGCTACACTTAAATTTCATAACTCCCCTGCTACACTGACTTAATAACACCACCTCTCCAAGTACTGTAGCATCAAGGGCAATGTAGTTAGGTAGATGCAATAGCAGTGTAGACACTGCATTACTTACATCGACTGTTATTAGCCGCCAAGAGCTGTTCCACAATGCCCAACAGTGACCGTTCTGGTCACTGCTGTGAACTCTGCTGCCCAGGGGCCAGGTGGCCACCCCTCTTCTTTAAAGTCCCATAAATATTTTAAATTTCTTGTCCTGATTGCCTAGCTAGCAGCTCCCCACTGTTGTGTGCAACTGCTCAGCTGACCATGGCAGCTACACGCTGCAAACACACTCCTGTCTGGAGTACACAGGAGATGCTGGATCTTCTGAGTCTGTGGGGAGAAGAGGCTGTGCAGGCACAGCTCTGATCCAGCCCTGGAAACATCGATCTCTGAGCAGATTGCTCGGGGCATGCAGAAGAAGGGCTCCCAGAGGGACCAGCAGCAGTGCCATGTGAAAGCTAAGGATTTGTGGCAGGCATACCAGAAGGCGAGAGAGGCCAACAATCTATCTGGTGCTCAGCTGCAGACCTGCTGCTTTTACAAAGAGCTGTGTGCCATCCTCAGCAGAGACCCCACCACTATCCGCAAGAGCCCTGTGGATGCTTCGGAGGAGCCTGAATCACAGCCTCCGCCATGAACAGCGAGGAGGAAGAGTGGACGAGCAATAAGAGGAGTATGGGGGACAGGTGAGAGGGGGGTACAGCCATGCAGTGAGCCAGGATATGATTTTGACTCCAGCGCAGTCCAGCCAGTCCTGACACTTAAGCACGGACAAGTCTGATGCAGAGGAAGGAACCTCTGGGTAAGTATGCAGGTTGTTTTGAAATTACAGGGATGGAACCCCCAAAGTAGCAGGACACATCTGTTGATTTACCTTTTTTTTTTATTTTTTAACTTCTGCTAGAAGAGGTAGTGAAACAACCGAGAGAGATAGATTTCAGAGTAGCAGCCGTGTTAGTCTGTATTCGCAAAAAGAAAAGGAGTACTTGTGGCACCTTAGAGACTAACAAATTTATTTGAGCATAAGCTTTTGTGAGCTACAGCTAAGGTGCCACAAGTACTCCTTTTCTTTTTGAGAGAGATAGAGTTACTATCTGCTTTTCTTTCCCTCTAGAGTTAAGCAGAGGGAACCACACAGAGCAGTTTGTTTATGTGCATTGGCATGTCCCGTGAATCCTCCGTAGAAATCTCAATTAAACTTTCATGGAGGTACTCTGTAATCCTCTGCCAAAGGTTGCTGGGGAGGGCTGCTTATTTCTTCCGCTGTGGTAGGATATTTTCCTGTCATTCAGTGATTATTTCAGCAAGCATCATTACAGTACACAGGCTAGCAGCATACAGGCCCAGGCAGCATCAGGACCCCAGCAGCAGCTGTGCTTTCTTGGCCTTTGTTACCCTCAGGAGTGAGAGATCAGCTGAAATCACCACTACCTGTGGAAAACTGTGCCTGTATTGAGCCCCATTGTCCTATGAACATATACTCATGCCTGTGAGCTAACCCCACACTCCTCTCCCCAGAGCCATACTCACTAGGCTGGTGCTCTGACTGGCACCGTGCTGTATCAGTCCCAAGGAGAAGTGAGAATGTAGTGCTTACAACTTTTGGGGATCAAGGGGGTGAGTTCAGTATCCTAAGTTTTGATTTCTGTCATGTATACACTAACAATGGTAGCTCTGCGGGTTGGGTTGTATCTGCAGCTGATCCTATTGTAGCCTTGAGGGTTTCCCCCTCCACACCCACAGAAGGCATGAGCCAGATAAAGAGAAGAAAGAAGAGAACTCAGGTTGACACGTTCCAGGAGATGCTGCAAGCCTGTGCTGCATCAGAGAATGAGACTAGGGCATGGAGGTTGACCCTTGCAGACAGCATGGAGATGAAAAGAGTGGAGAGGAAAAAAGCCTGGGAATCCAAGCAAGGAAAGGAGAGGGAGAGTCCCCAGAACATAATGGGACCTCTCAGGCAGCAAACAAAGATGCTGTTGTAGACCTGCAGGTCCAAGAATCCCATGCTCACCGCTCTGCAGCCCATAGACAACTCAATGTCAGGATGTCCCTACACCTCCATCCTCAACATTCCACGTGACATCAGGAGTCACTACATTACCCCTACCACTCCACCTCAGGGGACATTAAAGACAATCAAAGCTCCACATATACTGACTTGTGAAAAGGACATGGTTGGTGTAGGTGTACCTGAAAATGGAAATGACTGTTCTTACCCCTTCATAATAAATTAAAGCAACTCAATTTAAGTTTTATAAAGTTCTAAATGTGTTTTAGTTACCTGGTTCACGTTACAGAATTAAATTCTATTTTTTGGAACATAATTCATCTTTATTAGGTCACAACATACACTGGCTGGTGCAGGGCAGATCTGACACCCCCAAATCTCCTGTTACTTCATTTTGACATGGAACCCATAACATCGTTCTCAAACAATATTAATAGGTGCATTGGCAGTATTATATTCTTATGCACACAGCACTCACTGCAAGATTCATACTGGGCTCCAAAAGAACAAGGCCAGGTAGAGCACACTACAGCAACTCATACTACTTTGGCTCACTATTAAAATGTTCCTGAGCCATACAGCTCCTTGTTGAAGTCTTTTTATAGCCCTTATATCTGGCCATTCAAATTCAGCAGACAGCCACTCCACTGCCACCTTCCACTTCAGCAGAAACTTTCCCCCTTTTGCTTCACAGATAATATGCAGGACACAGCAAGCAGCAATAACCATTGGGATTTTTTTCCTCACTGAGGTGCAGTTTCGTACATGGACACTGCCAGCAACCCTTCAGACGATCAAAGGCACATTCAACTGTCATTCTGCACCTACTGAGCCTGTAGTTGAAGCGCTTCTTGGTGCTGTCAAGGTGACTGGTGTACGGCTTCATGAGTCACAGGAGCAAGGGGTTTGCTCGGTCTCCCAAAATCACTATTGGCATTTCAACATTCCCAATGGTAATCCGTTGGTTGGGAAAGGAAATCCCTGCTTGCAGCTTTCTGAAAAGTCCTGTGTATTGTCATATGTGCGTGTCATGCACCTTCCCTGACCAGCCCACACCAATGTCAGTAAAGCATCCACAGTGATCCACCAGCGCTTGCATTACCATAGAAAAGTAGCCCTTTCTGTTAATGTACTCTGTGGCAAGGTGGTCTGGTGCTAAAATAGGGATCTGGGTGCTATCACCCTACTGCCGTTTGGGAACCCCAA